TACCTATAAATACATCTGGGATATCGTTTCTAGAGGGACCTTCAATATTATTTTTTATTATGAAAGATTTAAATGCGTTTACGACAATCGCACCTGATATTAAGCAACGATGTGGTCTAGGGCCCGTATTAATAGATATTTGATTTCTCACCGTATTTAATTTCTCAGCAAATTATACAAAAAGTCTTTTCTGTTCCAGCGCCACACGCTTTTACAATCAATTATTATAAATAAAAGCACATAGTTTACACTTCAGTCCAGAAATAGAGACAACTTGAACGATCCATAATTTATTTTTGGTTTTTACGAGCATTTATGAAAGCGTGTTTTCCTAGTTTTTTTTACTATAAACTTATTTTTTGAAGTTATACTTCTCTAGGCGCGTTATAAAAAAATTATGAGAGTGAAATTTTAAGATGCGCGCGCATCTGTAACACAAAAAATTAACACCATGAAGTTGGTCGCTTTAGCGACCAACTTCATGTGCCGCGCTGCCATTACCGCGTCGCCCGCCGCACCGTACGCATGCGCGGCCACTCGCGGTCCTAGCGCGGGAAACACGTACAACAAACATCGGGAAAAGTTACGAGTTTTGAATTTAGAACAGAGACTGTTTTCATATCTATATATATAAAAATGAAACCCGTTTTCCGTTGTCACGACATAACGTGAAAACGGCTTGACCGATTTGGCTGTTTTTTTTTTTGTAGTTTTCTAATACTCTGTACAAGGTTCTTACGGAAAAAAATATAAAGAAAATCCCAAGGGGATAAATAAGGAATGAAAGTTTGTATGAAACTTTATCAATTTTAAACCGATCGGGCTGAGACTTTGCATGCAGGTATAAGAAGAATCATAGATGAATGTCATTGTGTATAATACAAGCCTGAGAACAAAAACTGTAGTCTACACTTCAGCTCTACACCGAAGCGAAGCGAGGGCGGGCCGCTAGTTTATAATATTTATCCACATGTTTCTAGTTTGTATATTCGGAATACGTGTTTGAGTTTCATACAAGTGCAAATCACATATGTTCTAATAAATTATATTCAGTAGCGATTTTAATTGAATATTTTGATTATTTATTTATTTATTCAAATTAAAACTGAACTTTATTGACTGTGTCCTTTTCCAGACTTTTTATTAATTTATTGTAATTAATTATTTGCATGCAATTAAAAACTAATTTTAAACGATGCCAAAGAAGGATAACTTCTCACGCGCCTACATAAGTACACGCACCCATTTTTTTTATTTATTAGTCTTTTATAATGAAATATTTAAAAAAATAAGTAGGTGAATGAGCCCGCATCCTCTCCATCTCCGCCAGTGCGTATGTATTGCATTGTGTTTTCCCTGTCAGCTTAGAACAATCTTGCTCTACAATCTGGAGACCAATAAGTGATTTTACTCTACTTAGGGCCACATTCACCTGTCCAGCCGCAAAATTACGGGACCCTAAGAATACCACTGCGTTGTCTACCGTACAGCCTTTCATCTTGTGCACGGTAGATGCCCAACTTTAAAATCACTGGGAGAATGCGCCTTTCCGCCGTACCGTAGCTATACTTGGCCGGGAACTGGATGATAGGCTGAATTAGATGCTCACCGTCGTTTCCGAAATTAACTTTGATGGACGGTATGTCGGTTTCATACATTTGGTCGCGTCTTAAGTGCGGCCAGACGATGTCCGAGATGAATCCGATACTCCCATTCACTAACTAGACCTTGAAACCTAATCGTAGTCAAAGTTCATTACAAGACTTTTCTAAGAAATCCAAAAACAGCTATGATACGATGTTCCATCATGAAGTTCCAGGTCATATCTTCAACTCCCGCCAAAGGAGGATGGGTAGGAGAGGACGGCGGTGCGCCCTGGCTGCGCCCTGGCTGCGCCCGCCCCATGACCCTACCCGGAGGGTCCCTCGCTGACCGGCATGGCGTTAGCTGTGCCGACCACCGACGGACCCCGTTACGGCAGCCCCCCCTTGTAGTTCTGTCCTGCAAAGAGGGGGGCGGCGGAGGGAGCTACACGGGCACGCCCAAAGTAGCCCTCCGCAGCGGTCGGGGGGCGGAACGGTGGGCACTAGGCCGCGTACTCAGCCACCATGCGCGGGCCATCCCGCGCACGTCTGCGGGGTCCCCGCAATACCCCGGGAGACCCCTGCTGCAGAGCCCCGGCTAGGCCGGGAGGCTGCTAGGTGCGGAGACGCGGAAGAATCCCTAAACGGGGATTCCGCGGCCTCGCGCTAAGCAGCTTAGAGGGTATTCGCAGGGTTTTTTAGCGGATATTATGCCGTAAAGCGCCCGTAAGAGTTACGGGGTCCTCAGTGGGCAGCCACTGCTGGGGCTCGTTAGGCTTGCGGGAGCCAGGTGTGAGGTCCGTTCGGCGGTGTGCCTCTTAAAGGCGCCGTCGTCTGTTAATAGTATGTTTTGCCTGCGTATAAAAAAAAAGTTCATATCTTCCGGCTCCATCATCAGATCAATTAACAGTACCATATTATTGTATTGTCATCAGAACTACATACAGCTGCTAATATTCATTACGCTACGATCCTTGAAAGATGGTTCGTTACAAATAGGTCGACCTAATAAAAGCGTGTTAATAACCAAGCACTGAAATGAAAACCCGTTATCTTTTTATGTTCGACACAGATTTTCGGGGATAACTACGTAAGTATCATCGAAACGTGTCGTGAAAACGCGACTCTATATTCTCAAAATAATGTAAGTATATTATAGTCATCCTCTGCAATAAAATGTCGTCTGTAAGGAGGTCATACGACGACCAATATATTAACTTTCACGTCTTATTTTTAAAATATAGGTATAAGAGATGTCTACAATATGTTAGCTACGCAGTTGGTACACCATGGAATGTTTAATTCATGATAAGATAAGATTGACTATTCAAATTAATTTATTGCGACCATCATCTTGATTCAATAGATAAATACATTATTTATTACGAATTTCTACATAAACAAAAAACATGCTAAGTGCAAGTTAGATTCGCGCACGAAGGGTTCCGTACCTTACAACATCAGACACTATATTATATAATAATAGTAGAAAAAAATCGCCAAAAAATCACGTCTGTTGTATGGTTGTATTTAAAAGGGGGGCTTTTAAATATTTAATTTAATTATAATTTCATATCATTTAAGTAGGTTAGTATTAAGATAGTTCTGATTTTAAGATTTTGGGCATTTAAGTATGTGGTTTCAGGCTTTTGTAAATTAAATGTTTCTATGTAAATAATAAAATTAAAGGATTTAATTGAATTTTATAAGGATAATTAATGTTTATTTTATTGTATTTTTAGTATTTGTTGTTATAGCGGCCACAGAAATACATCATATATCAAGATTTCAACTGTCTAGCTACCACAGTTTATGAGGTACAGCCATAGATATGCAAAATACGTTATAAAAAGTATTTTTAAATACAAAATGTAAATACTTTGGTGTCTTTTAATTTCAAATACGAAATAGTTTTTCATTTTATATTTAAGATACGAATACAAAATACGTATTTCCAAAATACTTTAACAGAATAAAATACCTTTAGCTTTAAATTGTGATTATTTTATTGGTGTTTTTTTAAATCTTAGTCGCTCGTAAACAAAACAGTTGAATGTCATGTCATAGTGAGAAAAAAACGCATTAAATTGGTATTGCTGTTGACTTATCAAAAAAATAATATCCGTGTGTCGGATAGCACACCTTTTATATCATTCCTTTATATTTATTGTGTTTTTGAAACTTTTGTCACTGCCACCACTGTTTTCTTTTCCCTTCATTAATAATTAAATAAATTAACAGTTAAAAAAAAACTGAAAACACGCTTTTATTTACTGCACTAAAAAGCCAAAAATAAACAAAATAATATACTCTCTATAATTTTTATTATTTTTAAAGCATGTAACTGCTTGTTGTTTAAATCTAAAGAAAATATAACTAGAAAAAAATTCCACGCGGACCAGGCAGCAGACGGGACTCGAACCCGCACCCTTCGCAATCCGGGCGAATGCACTGACCAATTATGCTACCGCGGCCCTCGCCCGTCTGCTGCCTGGTCCGCGTGGAATTTTTTTCTAGTTATATTTTCTTTAGATTTAATATACTCTCTGTTTATTTCATTAGGGGCTTAAAGTTAGCCATGGTTATAATTTATTTTAACATACATATTTAACTGAAAAAGCTTGGGGCGTTATTTATTGCAATATTTATCAATTTAATTATTATATTACGTGATTCATAATGCTTAACAATTCAGTTAAAATTTTATAATGAAGCGCCCCACAAAATGGAAATATGTATTTTCTATTTTGCATTTCAAATACTGTTATTTTTAAAATGTCACATCTCTGGTGTCAGACAGATAGACGGGCTGTAGAGTCTTAGTAAGAGGGTCCCGTTTGTACCCCTTGGGTAAGGAACCCTAAAAAGTAGCTTTCCCTGTGTGTCTATAATCCAATGATGATGTCATTTTTGTTTTCAGTAAGATAAATTTTCATAGAAGGTTAAACTTTGTACCTACAATAAAAGGCTGGTTACAAAAATATAATCCATCCCGACGGAAACCATGATCACTAGTAAATAGTGAATTCATAAAATGTCAGCAATCTAAATAGACATATGCAACTATTCGCTGTGATTTTCCTTGCATCCAGCATCAAGAAGTACACTGTATTGTTACTAAATACCATTACCCTTAGTACGAGTTTTACAATTACGAAAACTATGATACTTTTCGTGAGCTCGCACTTGTACTAAGGGTACTGATTTTATTGTTTTCGTTTCAATACAAATAAACAGTGTTTAAATTCTATCATTAAATCATTTACGTCTTCTTAATTTTTAAGTATATTTGGTTACTTTTCAACCAAAATGGACATTGAAACCTAATTTACAATTACGAAAACTATGATAGTTTTCGTGAGCTCAAACTCGTACTAAGGGTACAGTACATTTTTAAACGTTTATGCTGTGCTATGTTCCAGGAATATGCAGAGACAGCCATGAACGAGCTGCTGGGCTGGTACGGTTACGAGCGGCTCGAGCTGCGCCGGTGGGCGGCCTCGCGCGCGCGCGATGGTGGGAGCCCTGAGCAGACTGCCGAGCAAAAGAACAAAGGTATAATTTTACGCGGCTATTTAAAAAAACAGTGAAATACTAACCTAACGCACTGACCACAACTTACCAAATTTTAACTAATAAAATTCTACGAGGAGCTGAAGAGCTCGATGGCACGGATTTCTTAACGGACAGTAGCCATCCAGGAAATTTGGTTTCCTTATGAAAAAAAATAGAATATTCCAATTATTATAAAACTTGAGTTCCTGTCGATTATGTTCCATGCGTGTAGATAAGTATAGTGTACAAGACAATATCATTATTGCAATAAAATTATATAACCGTGTTCGATTCGATGTAAGATCCGAAGTCAGCAGTACCAATTCAAAAGCCTTTTAAATATTGTTAGTAACAATGAACCTTCATAGCCTTTAAAAAAGCATTTGGAGATAATAAAGTTAAGATATGATGGGGCTGGCATATCCTATTAATATTATAAATGTAAAAATTTGTATGTTTGTATGTTTGTTACTCTTTCACGCAAAAACTACTGAACGGATTTGTATGAAATTTGGTACGCATATAGTTTACAACCGGGATTGGGACATAGAATACTTTTCATCACGGAAAAATGTTAGATTCCCGAAGTCGCGAGCGGCCGGTTGTCATTAATATTGCGTAAAAGCCTCTAAATAAATAAGATAAAAAAAATGAAATTGAACAACACGAAAGTACATGGTATCAAAATATTTGTTACCTCAATTTGTAATTCTATAGACAAACAAATATACACAAAACGTTTTAGAAACGTTAATGAAACAATCGAATGAAATGGTTATTTCCACGAAAAGTCAAACCCTTAATTTTTGGCTGCAGCTGTACTTACCTAGCTAGTCAATTCTGTGAATTCGTAGGTGCAATATTGCGCTGCCCCCTTTTCCTGTTAAAACAACGGGATATCACATAGCGCACGAGTAAGTACATTGTGCACGAACTGATTGAGGGGCTGACAAGGGAGCAGGTACACACATGATAAAATGGATTCGTGGAACTTATGATCATTTCATTTCCCTCGCATTATTTGTATCGCTAAGTTATTGGAGTTTACTCCTTAAGAATCGATTTGCATATATAAGGGGCTCGGTATGAGAAAAATGTGAGGAGTAAAATCTATCGATGAATGACCTCGTTACTTTTATGGTGCGCATCCTATATCGCGCAACTTTGACAAACAAAGATGACGGATTGACATTAATATTTTTTTTTTAAATCTGAACTGAATTTTGATATTGTTTCTGATAGAGCAATGGGGACAACAAGGTATGGTACAACCATTGATGCGGTATTTTCAAGATTCGTGAACCACGTATCTACGAACGTCCATGTGTCTTATTTTAGTTACCATAAACCACTTGTCACTGTAATTAATAATGCAGACAATGTTGATTTAATTAATATTTAAAAAAATGATAATAATCTGATAATAATAATTACATAATTTATCAACATTCCTAATGATATATTTATGCACATCTGAAATTGACTATTGTAAAAAGTTTAATGTAAAATATTTCGTCGATTAGTTAATAAATGTATATGAAATGAATAAAAATATATTTATATATGTATATTATTTTCATTAATTTGTTAATTTACCCTTTCATACAGTATAAATCTTTTTTAAGTTAAATAAACTCTTTTTGCGTCTGGTTAGACTATCAAACTTAAGGAGTAAACTCCAGTCCAGTTACTTACATCATAATTCATCAATTAAGTAACAATAATGTATTTTTATTGGTGAAAAATAAGAGAAAATATTTTTGAGACGAATTGAAATATTGTAGGTATGTAGAAGGACGTTGCGTAGCGTACCAACCGATTGAAGAGCGAGAGAAGGGAGCTACGGGCACCGATCATGATAAAATGGATTCGTGGAACTTTCAATTCCCCTAGCATTATTTGTATTGTTATTTATTAAATAACTTACATTATAATTTTCCAATTAAGTAACAATAATGTTTATTTTGTTTATTGGTGAAACTAAGAGAAATGTTATGTATGTATTTTGAGGTAACTGCGTTTCTAAATTCCCTGCTATTTTGGCATATTGCGAGAATGGGATGTGACAAACTTCCATTTCTTGCTTCGTTCGTGATGATCATAGAACTTGGTTGAAATTTCGCTCACATGTTCAATTAGCTTTGAATAGTAGTTAATTTGGCCACGGAGTTTACTCCGAATTTTGTAATGTTTGGTAGGGAATTAATTGTTGATGCGTCATTGCACTGTTTTAGTAATTCTTTTGATAAATTTAACACAGATCGATCTTGTGGACCTTTATGCTTTTGGTCATTCACTTTCTTCACTTAAAGAAAGTAAAGTAAAGTATACATAAAACATGAGTAGTCTATAGATGACCTCCGTGGCCGAGTGGTTTGTTGTACGCCGGGTTTCAAGGTGTCGCCGACTCGAGAGGTTCGAATCCCGGTGGGGGCTATTATAAGTAAGAGGCGAGACTTGGCTCCGCTCAACTCTATTTGGAACTCTGTCCTTACAATCTTGCAGAATTTACTTAGCTCACGACTTATCGCGAGTATGAACACAGCTGAACTAACTGCTTGTCCAGGGATCTGGATCATTCATGTAAAGAAATGGTAAACAAAAAACACTCCTACACATTTTAGGGAAATGGCACAAACAATTGTCTTAATAGTTAAGGAATAGGAATAGAAAGTTCACAATAGGTTATATGCCTTACAAATAAAATGAACATTATCTTACTTAATGGCTAAGGATGAGTACTTAAACTAAACAACAATTCAATACAATGTAAAAGAAGGGTAAGAAAATATTAAGGCTATACAACACAAAATAAACAATGATAAGGATATAATATAAATGGGTTTCTGCAAATATTTACAATAGTAGGTTATGATTTTGGGATCGTCGATGGCGTCCAGATGGTTGACCCTGACGGTCATTGTGGAATGGCGGGAATGTGGGAGTTATGGTGTGATAACATAACAGGGCAGATGTTTGTGTGATGAATACGAGAATTTGTACTCCAGTCATGGATGTTTAATATGTATTTCTATATAAATATACATATATATGTATTGTATCCGTTACCCTAGTATCCCATAACACAAGCCTTACAGAGCTTATTTTGGGATTAGGCTAATTCGTGCGTTGTTTAAAAAAATCTAGTACGTATTAATTAACAAAAAAATATTAAAGAACGCTTGCGTGATAAGATTTGTTTTTGACGAACAAAATCGCACGAACTGTGATAACCGCGTTCCGCACATCCGTATTCTAAGCACCAAGACAGAAAAAATAAAAATCTCTTCTATGTAAAACGATCGACACATTTCTTAATTAAGACAGGTAGACCGAAGAAGTGCTCGTAAAAATATGGAAGGAGCATAAAATATGGTATTGTATAATTTTTCCGTCGCGTCGCGCCGCACTGTTATGATGAGACTGGAATTGTTGGCACATCTCAAGTATCCACCGCCAATTAATTTGCGAATGATATTGGATGAGAAGGACAGAGATAAAAAAACTGTGTAACCCTACACCGAGCCTGTACTCATTATACTGAATCCGAGGATCGCTTACCCACCATTGATGGCTCGTTACGTTACAAACCTTATTAATTTCTGCTCGGTATAAAATAGCGCGGCAGGACGGCGGGCGGCGGTGCGGGAACTAACAATGCGAGGAATTTTGATGTTAATGAATATGATATATCGATATTAACATTGTACTATTATCATAGTCAAAATTGTAGGTATGATACGAGAAAGTACAAAAATCTATTATATAAAACTCAAAGGTGACTGACTGACTGACATGGTGATCTATCAACGCACAGCCCAAACCACTGGACGGATTGGGCTAAAATTTGGCATGCAGATAGATCTTATGACGTAGGCATCCGCTAAGAAAGGATTTTGATCAATTCTACCCCCAAGGGGATAAAATAGAAAATGAAAGTTTGTATGAAACTTTGTCAATTTTAAACCGATCGGGCTGAGACTTTGCATGCAGGTATAAGAAGAATCATAGATGAATGTCATTGTGTATAATACAACCCTGAGAACAAATACTGTAGTCTACACTTCAGCTCGACACCGAACCGAAGCGAGGGCGGGCCGCTAGTAAATAATAAAATACTGTGTATTTAAGTACGTTTCAATAATCTACTAGGTACCAGCAATATACTAAAATAAAACATTTTAAAAGTACAGATGTACTTAAGCACTACTTACCCGAAAGCACGTATGCATGCATAACTTTGCTTAGCTTTTTCTCGTCGGCAAGCCGTTTTTGCTACTCGTCACTAGGTGTCTTCGAATCGAATCGAATGCTATATATATACCTACCATGCGATTCCGTCCTACTGAATACATCAAGCGTCAACAGACCCAACTCCATGCCACGTAGATGTAGCTCCTACGATCGCTATAAAAACACAACACTAGTTTATGTAATACGTATGGTTTGTTTGGCTGCTGTAGGCTTGATGGTACTCGGACTTCGACGGACGATCTACTGCAGACTGTTTTAATCGATACGAGTGGGAAATCTGAGTCTTATATCAAGAGAGATAGGATTTCTCGTTTAAATTGGGGCGCCCGTGTAGGGTGAAGTAACCTCCACCTTACAGAAGATCACAGTAAAATAACACTACCATATGCTAGCTTTCTGCACTCCTTCAAAATCTTTATAATGCAAAATCAGACAATCCTCTATTAGCAATATGTGCTATTAATATAATCGGCGACCTCCGTAGCCGAGCGGTTTATACGCCGGGTTTCATGGTGTCGCCGACTCGTGAGGTCTCCGGTTCGACTCACGGTGGGGGCAAATGTTTGTGTGATGAATACGTGCATTTGTACTCCAGTCATGGATGTTTAATATGTATTTCTATATAAATACACTTATATATGTAATCTATCCGTTACCCTAGTATCCCATAACACAAACCTTACAGTGCTTACTTTGGGGCTAGGCTAATTGGTGTGATTTTTGTAAATATTTATTTAATTATTAATGGTGTATGGATGAGGGATTTCATTAATGGTGTCATGAAAGTTACAACCTGTTTAGTTCTTGAACAAAACCATTTTGTTCTTCCAGACGAGTGTTCGTGGTGTAACAAGAGCATCACGAGCGAGAGTGGCGCCCTTCAGCAGGCAGGCGCGACATTCTGCTCCGAGCTATGCTTCAGCCAATCGCGGCGCGCCAACTTCAAACGCGCCAAAACCTGTGATTGGTGCCGCCATGTCAGACACACAGTCGCTTACGTGGATTTTCAGGTTGGTAATCACATATTTTTTTAATAAATAAATCTTGTGAAAAGAGCATCACGAACGGAAGTGGCGCTTTCCAGCAGGCAGCGAGACATTCTGCTCACAGATGTGTTTCAGCCAATCACGGCGAACCAACTTCAAGCGCGCAAGACCTGCGACTGGTGCTGCTACACAGCTAGAAAACTTGCACACTAGTTTAGCATTAGGCAGACACCGCACCCGTAGGATAAGAGTACGAAGACCCGGTCTACACACGACGCGCTATACCAGGTACTGGTACGTTACCGGGCGTTTTTCATCGCCCCCCACGATAACTAACTAGAGCTGAGGTCCGAGTCTCAGAGACGCCCTCAAGTTGAGCCGACCCCCTCAGGTTCCATTGGTCTAGAGCCTCCAGACGGAGAGGAGACTCTCCTCGTGGGGAGATACCATTCGCCTGGAATACTTCTAGAGGTAGGTACTCGCCAATTCTCGACTTGAGGTCCCCTTAGGATCTGGAGCGGAATTTGAACATCTTGAAACACACAAAATATAGTTAACGAACATGTCAGACACGTTGGCTTACATGGACTTTCAGGTAGCGACACCATGAAACCCGGCGTACAAACCACTCGGCCACGGAGGTCGTCATGTGGCCGCTACCAGATGGGCCATACTTGTTTACCACATTTTTAACATAAAAAAACATAGTTTCCTTACCCTTATTATATGTGTTCTATCCGTTATCATAGTATTCCATAAAACAAGTCTTATAGTGCTTACTTTGGGGCTAGGCTAATTGGTGTGTGTTAGAAATATTAATAATTAGCCTTGCCGAGGTTCTTGCCGGTTCTTCTCAGTACAAGGTCTCCCGCCGTAGATTTGCGAACTGATGGCGTAACTTTCGACTTTCACATGAGCATGTAAAAGCCTTATCTGAATAAATGAATTTTGAATTTGAATTGAACTTGAAAAACTGTACCTCATATTAAATTATGGGACGTAATTTAGAATTGTTTCACTTATAGGAACTTACAAAATAATAACTTAAATAATAAGAAAATTATTCTACGTACCTAACCGAAGAGCGCAATGGCGCAATGATGAGCATGTTCGGTCTACCATCGTGGAAGTTAAGCAACTTTCGCAATATGCAATCTTAGGTAGGACTGGAATCACTTATTCTTTTACTCTAATTACCTCGTGTTTAAGAAGCCACGCTACCTTATGCCACAGCTGACGTTCATAAGCTGATAATGATGATAATAACCAGATTTTTCTCATTACAGGACGGTGCTACTCAATTGCAGTTCTGCTCCGACAAATGCCTCAATCAATACAAGATGCACATTTTCTGTCGGGAGACGCAGGCGCATCTCGATCTCAATCCTCACCTGGTGAACGCTTCGTCGTCCTCTAACCTCATCACCCCCGAACTTTGGCTCAAAAACTGTAAAAGTAGATCCACCTCACCTACTTCTGAAAGATCAGGGTCACCCCCACATGAAGGCACAGCCAAAACGAATTCAGAAAAAATAGAGGCTCCAAAGTCTACTACGAAGTCACCACTACCGCTAATAACCATAGCGCCGACCTCGAAACTGATGAAACCGAAAGGACCATCCGAAGAGCGGACGACTGTGCAGAAGTCACCTGAAACCAAAAAAGAGACCAGGACCAACAAAATGAACTTGAGGAAACGCAGGACTTCAAAGTGTTCCGCTACGGTGACGTCACAAACCGCCAGGCAGAGGACAGCGACGCCGAAAGCCCAAGATCTTCGGATCTGTAGCCCCTCTGTAGACGGCTCGTCCCCTGCGTCCATCGTCAACGGCGCCATTCATTCCCCACCGCATCCTGTGAACCCTCACGCTGTACCCCCTCCCCCGTTCCCCAATCCCTTATACGGAGTGCCACCGCCCATCTTCATGGAAAACGGCCACATCAATGATATTCGACACCCGAACATGTTTCCGCCGCGGTTTAACTTTCCGCCCCGACTAGGTATTCCCATACACCAAGAAAGACCTCGTATTCCACCTCCTATGAACTTCCCACCGGTTCTAGGCCAGGCTCCGCCTGTAACGGTACTAGTACCGTACCCTGTGGTGCTCCCAATACCCCTTCCTATACCTATACCGATGCCTTTATCGGCATTCATACGGGCACATTGTGCGACTAAAATTAAAACTGAAACTAGGACTGATGATAGCGAAGGACCTTTAGACTTCACAATGAATAGCGAGAAAAATAAAGATGAAGACAATAGTGTCAACGGTGAAGTGAATACAGATGTACCAGAAAGCAATGAGCACAATGAACAAACTAATGATAATAATAAGCGGATAGAAGAAGAGAAAGTTGTGGATGAAAGTGCTGAAACAGTTAACCCTGAGCAGACGTTACCGAAGTTCAAAATAACGCGGTTAGGGAATAAAATGGCGAAGATCGTCACCAAGCCGAGGGAAACTTCAGAATCTTCTAGGCCTTTGAGGAAACGGCGAAGACTCGTGGAGGCTACCGATGAAGACGTTCTCATTCCAAAAACAAGAAAAATTGTTCAAGTATAATGTGTACTTCAAACTGATCTATTAATAGATATATTTTATCTGCAATATCTCAAATAATATGTTTATTCAATAATATTGATAATACATACATATCACAATCATAATTGTTAATCCGAACTCAGTTCAATATCCTTTGAAATTGCTAGTCTTGTATTTAAGCCTAATTTAAAGTTATAATAATAGATAAGCAGGTCTACTAACTTTATAAGTACCTATAAATTAATGAAAACATATTAGTGAATTTGTTTGTGTAATATTTATTACTTTTGCATGACACATGGATGTATTATTACTCAATACTGGCATATTTTAGTAGGGTACTTATAAACTAGTGGGGTTGTTAAAACTTAGAGAGCGCACTGTAAATGTGATATTAGTAATTTATAATAAAAACATATGTGTAAATAAAAATGAGTTCAAAGCTGCATTTACTTATTTCTTCTCATTTGAGTAAGATCACATTTTAATATCCACATAAACCTAGATTTAGGCCTGTTAAAAGCAACAAACCTTCAAAAAAGAAATAACAGCTATATCAATATTATTTCAGATGTGTGACTATTTGAATATTGTAAACAAATATTTGCCAGCATACACAGGGTTTATAAAATTAAAACAACAGTTGTGTATCATAGGCCTTTAATTTTTTGGCTCATAGAAAAACATGACTAAAAATCATTCATGGAAAATATTCATTGCTATATTTAACAACATGTTAACTTATAAACTAACAGCTTTGCCACACACTGTGAACATTATATGCCTCTATTTTCAAACATTTGTACATTTACTTGAGATCCAATTAAAATTTACAATGGCATAATATTTATTGCATTCTATAAAATTACATCATCAAATTAATTAAAGCATCACTGGATGATAGGTTTCTATCCAATATGTTAAGTAAAGGCAATACTGGCATATTCCATAGACCATAAAATTACATCTCACAAAAAATGTTTATCAAATAAAATAGTTTTGTTCTACTTAATAGTCAAAGTAGGTTGTCCAAAGTTTAATCTAGCATGTTGCTTAATATTCATTAAATGCAATTCAATTTTTGTTATTGTATAAATCCCAAAGGGTAATAGCACCGTCTAATCCCCCTGCAGCCATTATATGAGCTTTCCAGAGAGATACTTTCTCAGTAGAATAAACAACATCTTGCACTGCCTGTTTATGCTCCGTAAGTACAACCAAAGGTCTCAAAGAGAACCAGGAAAATATGCGGATGTGACCATCCCAACCACCTGAAGCAAACACTTTCCCATCAATCCTAGATTGAACCTTGTTGATTCCAGAATTTTTTATTGGAATATCTAGTTTGAGAGTCATGTTTAAGTCTTTTTTACTTATGCTAAAGATCTGCATCACATTTGAAACATTACCAATAATACCTCTCTGTTGTTCGAGGTGGTAATCTATGGACATTGGGCATTCTTTTGTTTGTAGTTTTCCAATGCACTGACTAGTATTGAGATCCCACAGGAGTAGCCAACCTGCTTCATAACCTGCTAGTAGACATGGTTTATCACCAGGAAACTCAATGAACTTAAAACACATAGGATCTCCCAATTTTGGTGAGGAATCATTAGTTTCCGGTATCAAAGTTTCCTTTTTTTCTCCAGAAAAGTTGTATATATGTATTTTTGATTCTTTATCAGGTACATAAATTGTCTCGAGTTTTGTGTTGGCTTCGAAACGACAAAAACCTGGGTAGTCAATTTCAATTAAAGCATCTTCTTTGTAGCCACTATTAGTTAATTTGAACATCTTAAACTTCCCTCCCTTTTCTTGGGTAATAAGATGGCTATCGGTGTGAATAAGGTGAAGAATTGGAGCTTGACCAACTTGAATCTTCTGCTGCACACGGTTTGTCTGAAAAAAAAATATATTGGAGGTAGGAGAACAAAATCCTTGTAACGGTAATGCTAATTAAAATTTAAATGGAGTTGTACTTAATAAATTATTGATAAAATAGTGGAAATGTTAAGATTGATGAATAAATCATCTTATCTATTTGGTAAGCAGATGGCCCAAAAACATAATAAGGTCACTGAACCGGGGGTAGTAAACAACAGAAATCGGACAACAGTTCGAAGCCATACGACACGTCATTAATCATTTTTGCTGCGCAATTCCGTTAGAATAATAAAAAATCAGCGAATTATGGAATTTTGATCTCACCTGAAGGTTGTATGCATAAACATAGCCGTTCTTCGACCCGGCTAGTAACCTCTCCAGACCCCCGGGCAAAAAGCTGAATGCCAGAGAATAAACTGGCACATTATCAACATTTCTGATGGTGTAAACTGGATCGGGAGGTAATAGTGCCATTTTTGGTCAAGCTTAAGCCGAATATTTAACGGACAAGAAATTAAAATAATATTAAAATTAATTAAGCCATCAGAAATCAACAACAACAACTACGCACAACACAAAACTGACATAAAAACAAGATCGTTCGACTTTTTAGTTTCTAAAGAACGTTCAAAAATAAGAGTAATAATAAAGTTTCAATACTGTTAAAAAACTTAATTCTCTTAAGTCTTATTATTATTAATAATAACATTAAGTTTAAGCAGTTACAGATATTGAAGAAAATTATTTATTTACTGTGATAAATAAGTATGGTATTTAAAAAAATTATCAGTATTAGTAAGATAAAATTTTTGATTATGAACGTGCTCATAGTGTTGTAATGTTTATATGTAAAAATCGATTATTCAATTGTAAATCATTTGTTGATGTGGTTTTTTCTCAAATCACTACTTGCCACAAAATGGGGTCTTGGGGCCTAATTCTGCTATCTATCTTCTATATATATAAAACTTAAAGGTGACTGACTGAAATTTGGAATGCAGGTAGATGTTATGATGTAGGCATCCGCTCAGAAAGGATATTGATCAATTCTACCCCGAAGCGAAGCGAGGGCGGGCCACTAGTCATTTTATAGAACTAAAATAAGTTTTGACAATTGCATATTCTCATCTTGCTTTATATTGTAAATGATGCCAGGGAGAGTTTGAAGCTTAGAGAATCATGTTAATTTCTATAATTATTTAAATGTTATCCTTGTTTGTTATAATTTATTCATATTTCGTTATTTCATATAGGCATCTTGCAAGATCAAAACGCGTGTCAATGTTTATTTTTGATTAAAATCATTGATGATCATAAATTCGTTATATCATTTCAAACAAGAAAACATAACCTCTACATATTTATACAACTTATCAGATTCTTAATTCCTTTTCCGTAACTAATACCTAATGCATTTTTTCAACGATGAGTCTGCTCTATACTAATTTACTTTTAATTTTATATAAATATACCTAACATTCACAGCAATTAAATGTGAGTGGACGCTAACCAATTTGAATTACTGTTTCTAATTAATTGTATTGGTAGCGACCTAATTTTATGTATATGTTGCTACTTCTATTATAAGTAAAGTCACTTCATTTTACATCATCACTTTCCCATAGGTAGTTAAAAAGCCAATACGAGATTTTGAGACAAATTCCTGAAAGGTAAAACCGTAGGTAGTATGTAACGTGAATGTAGGACACAGTCGGACCACGATAAGTGTGCAGTAGACTTACAGTAGAAAAAGATTAAAATAGGTATCATATTCCAGCTAGGAGCAAATAATAGTTGTTTCTAGCATGCCATACATAGCTGGTCGATGCCATTTTGGATTTTTGGCTTATAAAAGGTTAAAAATTAATTTCTTTGTCAAAAATCAATTTATTATTGTTCGCGCATATATCTTAGATCGATTCCGATTATTCTTATTTTACCATTATGTATATAAAAAAACTCTATTTTTTTAAAATATTCTGTCATTTCACTGAAAGATCTATATCTATATAGAGAATCCCAATCCAAAACTTTGATTCCTTCATATTGAATGTCCCCCTTAAATTTATTTTCTTTTGTTTCTTTTACATTTTCAATATTTCTCCCTTCATACTCAACCTCATGTCTTTCTCTTATATGGTCAACTCTGCAAAGCATTTCTTACTATTATACGATCAACAGTAGATAAAGTACCTATAAGAAAACAATTTTACATGTATAGGTTTAGATAGACTGTAACTGCTGAAATGTAAACAAAAATAACTATACAAAATTAGACTAGTATCAAGAAATTAATTGCAACTCACTCGTTGAGGTTAGGTACATTTATAACATTGCTCTTTTTCATAAAAAAACCGGCTAAGTGCGAGTCGTACTCACGCACCGAGGATTCCGTACAAACCTGTAGATATATTTTAATAATCATTATAAAAATATTTTTTATTATATGATGTAAGTAAAAATTGCGGTTTTCGCAATTTTTCCTTTATCTATACTTCATGAAATTATTTCGTACCTAATTTCAAGATTCTAAGTTCACGGGAAGTACCCTGTAGGTTTTGATTCCCGTGCGAGTTTCGAAATTTTGCGGAAATTTGCGACATAAACGGCTGTAGCTTTTGATTGCTTAGGCTTAAAAGTTTGATTTTTTCACAGCTCCCAGGGACAGTAGGCCAGAGTATTAGACATGAATTTTAGTTTGATACCTCCACGCGTTCCTGAGAAAAACGGTCTTGACAGACGGACGGACGGACGGACAGCAAAGTGATCCTTTAAGGGTTCCGTTTTTTCCTTTTCAGGTATGGAACTCTAAAAATAATACATTTGTTCTTTTGCAGATTTATTATTACTTATTATTTAATAAATAATTTCTCCAATTCTTATATTAGGTATTTTAAATATGCTGCAAAAAGAAATTCATGAGGCGTCCCACTGTTAAATGATGTCAAACGTCCGACTCCGACATCAAAACATCAAATGGTACTAATTACGCCTATGGCTTATTATTTAGATAAGTCTTTGCTAACTTTCATGGCAAGGTTACAAACAGAAAAGTTCTTACATCATTTTAGATTCGCCTATTTCTAGTAGTTTTCAATCACGTAAAAATAGCCAATTAATGGTGTCAATTCTGGCGTGATTGAAACTTAAAACTAAATTTAAGGTCAGTCTCACCTTTTTATTCTGTATAGAGAAGGATAAGGATGTACTGTTGTCAAATTTAAATTTAGCTTTAGAGAATCATGCCAGAATCGATATTAATATTGTTTTTTTTTTATCTTATATTACTTGCTTGCTTAACATGTAATAATTACTTTAATTAAAACAATAGATACATTTAAATAACCAAACCCTTAAAAAACTACTTGATGACTGTGATTACTACTCAACTTATAAAATAATATATTATTGACAAAATAAAAAAATTGTGTGTGTCAGCTCCGACGCACGACCGGAGTTTACACTCTAAAAACGATTGTCTTTGAACAGACACAAAACAAAATCAAGTCCGAAGAAGTCGGTTACAAGTAGAGATACCTCAGGAATCGTCCCATGGTCTCGACTATCATAGGTTCCATGTCAAACATTTTATCATCTAACATCAGCGATATTCATCATATATTTTATTATGTATTTCTGGAAACACATAATTTCAAAAATATCACACACTAGTCATCATTTTGTAAATATGTATTATAATTCCATCTGTACTGAAAATCACTATTCCAGAGTGCTGGACACTTACCGGCATTTCTCTATATTCTGTTATTTATTTGTTTTCATTAATTTTGCTCCGATTTTATCTATTTTTAGTTTATTTATTTTATTGACATTTGTGACAACTTAATGTTTTTATCCGTTGCCATGGCTAAAAGTGAAAGGTGCGCAGATGAGGTTGCGCACAAAAACGTAACGAGGTTGTTAATGTCATTTTACTCCTCACATTTTTCTCATACCGGGCCCCTTATATATGCAAATCGATTCTTAAGGAGTAAACTCCAAAAATATGTCACCCTCAGCGCTGCCATCAGGTATGGTGTCTAAAAATATTGTTATATTTTCATGCATTTCATTATTTCATGATTTAATGGCATTAATAAAGATAATGAAAATTTATGATAATTGAATAGTATAACTTCGAATATTTAAAATTGATGTTTGCTTCTATCTATTTAAACTCCTATGGTATTCAATTATTTGGAAACTTGCTTGCTAGTGATGGAACCATTTTTGACATTTTGAGTGACATCTCTTGTCATTACGCTGCGTCAGTTTCTCGAGAGGCACCAGCGTTCTCGCGTTTTTTTAGAATTCTGAATGAAAAATCATTGATTTTACCTAATAATGGGTGCCATATATAAATTAAGAAGATTAAAGTAACACTTCAAATCACAAATGGCTGCGGAGACGCTGCTAAAATCGAACAAACAAATTAAATATACATCGTATAGAAATATCCTGTATCATAGGTTTTTCGTTGGTCTTTTATTGTTTATTGTGCTATCTTTAGTGTTTACAGTGTTGTTCAATGTTTTTACTGGTAGTTCACCGCGGACAGACTTCCATGAACCAGTGAATTTAGATCCATCAAGTGTTCCAGTGTTGCAACTGAGAAGAGATTTGCCAAAATCACAGTCCCGCCTCTCAAACTGCACCTACTGGGAATGCTTTAATGTTTACAGGTGTGGGAGAGGTGGGCACGATAAGATTACGATATATATTTACCCATTGAAGGATTATCAGACTGAAAACAGAAGACCTATATCACAGTTTTCTAAGGAATTTTATATAATATTAGATACTATAAGACACAGTAAATATTATACGCCAAATCCTGAAGAGGCGTGTATATTAGTCCCTAGTATAGATACACTAAATCAAAATAGTTTCTCTAGTGAATATGTGGGCAGAGCTTTGCAAGCTTTACAATAGTGAGTATGTCTATTTTATCAGATTTTAATTAGACATATTATTTGTTAACAGTCAAAATTTTATTGCAATAGTAAATAAATAATTCCTGTGCAATTGTTCTACATAAATGTTTGAAGTTGGTTATAATTTTTTTAATTGTACTTTAATAGCAATAACCTTAGTTGTACTTTGTGCATAAAACTAATACAATCTCATTCAATACAGTTGGAACAATGGAGAGAATCATCTCATATTCAACATGTTGCCTGGAAAGGCACCAAACTATGACTCTGTTGTCACACTTAATACAGGAAAAGCCATTATAGCAGGAGGAGGATTTGACACCTGGTCTTTTAGATATGGATTTGATGTGTCAATACCTGTTTATAGCCATATTGCTGAAAAAATTGAAAGCTCACAACCCAAACAGAAAAACTACATGATAATTTCAACTCAACTGAATATACCTCAGAATTACTTAGAACAACTCCAAAACATTGCATCGTCATCTAACGATTTGTTACTGCTTGATCAATGCAAATCAGAATCTAGTGGAATTGATTACACAAAACGTTGTGAGTACACAACAGGTAGAATATTTAATTATCCTGAGATAATGAAAGAAGGAATGTTTTGTTTGGTTATAAGAAGTGCAAGACTGACTCAAGCTGTCCTTATGGACATTTTAGCATCGCAATGCATTCCAATAGTTGTTGCAGACTCTGTTGTTATGCCTTTTAATTCTCATGTAGATTGGAATAAACTCTCGCTGTCTTTGCCTGAAGATAATGTTAAGAATTTATTAAAAATTGTACATTCAGTAAGTAATGAAAGAAGAGGAGAATTATACTGGCAGTTGAGATGGGCTTATGATAGATATTTTGCAAGTATAGAGAAAATAACATTGACAACATTAGAGATCATAAATGAGAATTTATTTCCACTAGCAGCTAGAATGTATGAAGACTGGAATATGCCAGAACATTTGGTAAGATAAATATGTATTATATTATATACATCTGTATTTGACTATATTTTATGGTAAATACCATTATTTCACATTAGTCTTCTGCAAGCATCTATCAAGCATATTGTGTTGTCTGTCTGGTCTGGTCAGTGTGTCTGGGTGTCAATACTGTTATGTTATACAATGTGCATCTGAAACAATGCACACCCTAAAAGTAGATTGGTTGGAATTGGTCTCTGAATTGATTTCAATAAAAAAAAGTATGTATCTAAAAATTCAAAATAAAATAATTGACTTAAAATTTAATCATTCCAAGCAAAGGAATGTGACATATAAAGCAGGGTTAATAAGAACTATTTTTAAATGCAACTAAAATAATTTTACTATACTTGATATATCACTGCTTAAACTGATTTAGTAAAACTACAGAAATTGATTAATTTGCATATTTATAGAAAACTGCTTTCAGGGTGTGCGTTATTTCAGACACATGTTGAATAATTATGTATCACTGTTGTTTCAGTGAAAATGCATTTACACACAGGCCTCTTTTACTAAAACAAAAATAACAAATACTATATTGCGCATTTTTTAAGTTTTTTTGTAACACAATTGACAAAAAGTAAGCAAAATCTATGTTCTTTGTGTTTAAGTAAGAAGAATTCTGTCAAAAAAGCAATACTATTGAAACACCATTGTTATACAAATGTTGTAATTATACTACATAGTTGTCAGTCTGTAACTACCGATAACCAAGGGCCCATTAGTATTGTAGGTACTGGCCTCATCATCTCTCCATTCTTGCCAGTACAAACCGTGTCAACAGCCTTTGCCATTTATACAGGGTTACAGGGAAAGTCGTACTGAATATTAAAGAACGTTATTATTCAGGTCATTTCTGATGGATTTGGTCCTATAATATGGTGTCCAAAACTTAACCGTTATGGAGATATTGGATATTAAAGATTTTTTTAAAAAATCGGCGGCCATGTTGAACATGAATCATAATTTTGAGCAGCTCGATAGCGCAAGTGGTTAGCGCGTTCGGCTGCGATCGTTGAACTTAAGCAACTTTCGCAGTGGTCGGTCATTGGATGGGTGACCAAAAATTACTATCTCGAGCTCCTCCGTGCTTCGGAAGGCACGTTAAGCCGTTGGTCCCGGCCGCATCTGCAGTCGTTAGCACCCACCAATCCGCACTGGGCCCGCGTGTTGGGTCATGGCCCAATCTCCCTATTCCATCAATAGGGAAGGCCTGTGCCTCAGCAGTGGGGACATTAATAGGCTGGTGATAATGATGATGATGCTTTTCTGGTTTTATTTATGTATTTTTGCTATTTTTACCTCAAACTAAAAATGTACCCTCTGCTACCATAACTGTTATTTGGTCAATGTTTTGCCAATTTAATAGCAAGTGTTATACCTTTTTGAATAGCTAAAGAGACGTAGAAGTTTTTAAAATTATTTGCAGAATAAGTTCCATACATGTTTTTTTTAGGAAAGCGCTTCAAAGTTAACAACACTTGGTGAAAATTCTTTATTTATAACCGTTGTCGAGCAGTTTTTTTAAGCCGTTAGAAGTAAGTTCAGTTTTTATTCATTATTTTTATTGCTTGACATGTCTTCTAACTAGATTCATTAAACAATCGGACCTTCGGAGCTCTAATTTCAAAAAAATCGACAGTAACCCAAAAAATATAGGATTTTTAAAAAAAATCTTTAATATCCAATATCTCCATAACGGTTAAGTTTTGGACACCATATTATAGGACCAAATCCATCAGAAATGACCTGAATAATAACGTCCTTCAAAATTCAGTACGACTTTCCCTGTAACCCTGTATACACTTGTTATGTTAACTTAGCAAAATGGATATCTGTTCTACATCTGTCTGTAATGCCCATAACCGACGGACCATTAGTATTTGTAATATGGGCCTCAGAAACTCTATACTTGCCAATGTAGTATGACCCCGTCAATATTGCGATTGCATAGAGCATCAATTGTTTCGCACCTAACCATTAAATCAACATACCGGTAACCACAACCAAGACGCCGGGGCTTCACTAAAGTCTTACTGCCGTATGACCGCGTCGCAGGCTGTTCGCACTTATACTACCTTTGCATCAAGCTCCTAATCACTGCATCGTTTGCAGTACAGAGGGCCCGTGATCCCCTATTCCTGCCATTGGCTCTCATTGTGTTTCAATTGTTTCGTACCTTAACACAAGATCATTTGCAATATGGGGCCTGCGATCCCTCTGTTCCTGCCTGTGACAGTCCTACCATTGCATTGGGCTTCAATTGTTTTGATCCTAACCACTACATCGTTTGCAGTAAGAGCCCGTGAACCCCTTGTTCCTGCCGTGACAGTCCTATCAATGTATCTGTCTGTGTGATCCCTTCAACATCTAAGAGTCTTTATTACGACTTCAGGCCGGACTTCAATTGTTTCGCTTTTAACCACTACATCGTTTGCAGTATGGGCCCGTGAATCTGTTTCTGCCGGTGGCCGAAGCCAAGACAGTTATACTGACGTACGACCGCGTCGACAGCCTGTTCACACTCATCCTACCATTGCATCAGGCTCAATTGTTTCGCTCCTAACCACTACATCATTCGCAGTATCGGACCCTATGACTCCTCAACTTTAATAGTCTCCCTATTAAGAGTGCAGCGGGCCATTCGCCTAACGGAAATGCTTTGGAAAACACTAACGCTTTCGATTTTTATTTGTTATTTCTGACCGCCGAAGGTTTTCAAATACCTCACGCTCATTTTTTTATATTGTTATTACCAATGCTAAAGAAAAAAAGAGCGTGAGACATTTGAAAACCTCAGGCGGTTAGAAATAACAAAATGAAATCGTAAGCGTTAGCGTTTTCCAAAGCATTTCCGTTAGGCGAATGGCCCCCTGCACTCTTAATAGGGCCCGTGAACCCTGTCTCCCTGCCGGTGACAGGCCTACCATTGCATTAGTACATCATTCGCAGCATCGGACCCTGTGATTCACTCAACTCAATAGTCCCTATTAAGAGTACAGGCCGGGTTACAATTGTTCCGCTCCTAACCACTACATCATTCGCAGTATCGGACCCTGAGACTCCTCAACTTTAATAGTCCCTATTAAGAGTGCAGAAGAGTGCAGGTCGGGCTTCAACAGTTTCGCTTCTGACTACTACATCGTTTGAAGTACGGACCCGTGAACCCTGTCTCCCTGCCGGTGACAGGCCTAGCATTGCATCAGGCTTCAATTATTTCGCTTCTAACTAGGCATGCGTCCGATATATCAAAACGAATCCAAAATCCGATTTCAAACACAAATCGATACCAAACGATTTCTCAACAAGAAAATCCGATTTCAGAAATCTAACCGAACCAAAACGATCGATCTAGCGATCTAATACCACCACACGTATCTAAATGTAAATCGGATTCGAAATTCGTGCCATCTTTTTTACTCCGCTATGTAGCGATTGGTTAGAAAGAGAGAAAGCGAATTTGTTCACAATTTCGAGAGTCAGTAAAATTCGCTTTGTCTCTTTCTTACCAATCGTAACAAAGCGGAGTAGATGACGCGAATTTCGGAAATCCGATTTCGGTTTGTTGTTTACGGAAATCTATTGCCATTGAATATGTGCGATCAATTTAGTCTTACGACACAGTACTTAAAGACTATATTTGCGTGACTAGGCTGTGAGGTGATGTATTTTGGCTTATAGCTTAGTGTGCGATTGTTTACTACAAAAACTTGGTGCTTTCGTTTAGGCGCAAATTTAACCTTGATATGCAAGTGCGCGCGTGTCAGTCAGTGATTTTTGTTTGCCGGTTTTAGATAATTATTAATTACGTGTATGTTAAGACTGGATTGGAGTTTAGAGTTCATAAAGATAAAAATAATAAGTCAACTTAGTAAATTGGGTACCTGCACATTATTTACTTGATAGTTTCAATTTGGATTTTTTTTTAACTGTTGTCTTTTTAATTGATTAGATGAGTTTTGTGTTGGTTTTCAAAATATCGTCAATTAATTGTTTGTGATTGTCGTTAGCTAATAAAACCAAATCTAAACACAAAGTAGTGAATTGGCTAAGTTAGGCACATCTGAAATCGGATATCTAAAAACGGATTTCGAAATCGATTTTGAAATCTGAAATCCGATAAATATCCGTTTGCGTTCAAAACCAAAAACGCCCATGTCTACTTCTAACTACTTCATACTCATCATTGGCAGCATCGGGCCCTGTGATCCCCTCAACCTCAATAGTTCCTATTAAGAGTACAGGCCAGGTGTTTCGCTCCTAATAATTACATCGTTTGCAGTATGGGCCCGTGAACCCTCTCTTCCTGCCGGTTACGGCAGCCAAGGCGCCGGGCTTCACCGCAGTCATACTGACGTACGACCGCGTCGACAGCCTGTTCGCGCTTGTCCGCAAGCTGGTGCGGACTCCGAGCCTCGCCAAGATCCTCGTTGTATGGAATAACCAGAGGAAGCAGCCGCCGCCATGTGAGTTTCTCATTTTTTAAAGTTTAACTTTATCTGTATTATGTTTTTTTATGTTAAAAGGGTGGCCTGCCTGATTGTAAACGGCCATCATAGTCTATAGACGCTTGCAATACCAATTATATAACTCGCACCGTTGCCTACCCTGACCTAAACCCTATCCCGTGGAGCCCTGGAACCTTACCGACAAAACACACCACCAAATGGCAGTGTTATTTTACTGTGATCTCCTATAAGGTGGGTGGAGGTTGCTTAAGTACGTTATCTATATCGTTTAACACATGAAAATCAAGACGGCAATATTATATGAGTATTGGTTGTACTGTTGACTGAATGCCAAATCACGGTAATATTATCTATACAGTATTCTATCTTCATACAAACGGTCGGAAAGCGTGTCATACCTACGCCACTCGAGTTCGCGCGGCACCCGGTGGGCATCTAGTCGTATTGTGAATATTTGATTGAATTAAGTGGATACCTACATAATTATATGGCAAAGAGCAATAGTCGATACCTATTGTGCTGTTTTTGGTTGCTTGAACTCTTCAATAATGAAACTTTTTATTCGAATGCGTATTTATTTATTAAATTTAATAATAAAGGTTTTCGTACATCTCAGTCAAGGCGTAAATATTTTTCTGTCTCAAATCTATATATTTTTTTATTAAATATTACACTTAAAATAACATGTATTTTATGTAACACTTCCTAATTCATTCACAACATTTTTTTTTCACATATGTAATAAAATATTTACAATCACAAAACTAGAAAGAAACTCAATTATGTAGATGAAATTAAAAAACTGTAGGCGGGTAGCCCTACCGCGTGTTTACGCTCCGCTCGGCCGTAGGTAGTTATTTCAAGGACAGGGCCGAGTCACAATACTGTATAGATAATATTACCGTGGCCAAATAGAGATGAAATGAAAACATTGTGAAAACTATGTAGGTATTTTAAAAAAAACGAGTGTGCTTATGAACACACGACTCAACTGAAACTTCTTTAGCTAGTCTATATGTGTGTACTATATACATGTATGTAAAATGTGCGCGCGCAGTGCTTTCTCTTATTTATATCCCCCACTCAACTCCCGTTCGCTTCGCCCGATCACACTTTTTGTAACGCGTTCGCCAGCTTACTCCCCAAGTCAAGAGTGCGTAAAGAAATTTCACTTCAAAAAAAAACTTTTCCTACTGTCACCACCATCATTACCATCAAAATCGGTCCACAACTCACGAAGATAGACACGAACCAAAATTTGCGGTGACATTGCTTAAAAAAAAACAAAAAAAACATTCGAATTGAGAACCTTCTTTTTGATTTGAAGTTGGTTATACACTAAACTGTTCGCATGCTATTACTCCCATTTCGAGAAAGTTGTGCGTGATTCAAGTCAAAAAGACATAATTTATCCTAAAGATTCGTTCGGGGATGCTCCAAGTTTTACGGCAAACGTTATTTAGATGACGTGTTTTAGGAAATATTGACCTGCAGTAATGCCACAAAATAAATAACAGAAGGTAATATACGTACAAAGTGCGCTCGAGTAACGCACACATAAACATATCGTGATACCTCGGACCGATTTTTTTTGCCATATTATTTTTATTCAGTTATTTCACAATTTGTGCCTTAACTAAGTTATTCTTATTCATTTTAACATGTTTAATAATATACTGTCCGTGCTCGAGGCTGCTATTTGATACAGCCAGGGGAGCGGGCAGAAGTCGGAAAGAGAAAGCATAGAAGGATAGTAAAGATAAAAGAAGGTATATAAGAAAATAGGGAGGTGAAAAACGAAATAGAGAAAAGTTAATTATACACTTTTAAACGTATAAAGTTACTGAAACAATATTATACTTTGTGAGCGTGCGCTGCGTTAGGCGAGACACGGAGCGGGCACCGAAACAGTAGAATAAAATAGTTTCTTGATATTTTGGGCTGATTTGGACCAGCGAGCTAGATGAAGTACCGAGAGAAAATGATAAACTAGAGAAAATGTTGAACTAGATGAAAGATGTAGTTCATTGCACCGAAAAGCTTCGCATCTTTCTTTTCATCATCACAATTGTTGAGAGATGACACACGAAGAGATGGCGCTGCCTTGCAGCTTAAGAATGGCTAGAAGAATTTCGACGCGGTCCGTGAGGGCCGCGGTAGCATAATTGGTCAGTGCATTCGCCCGGATTGCGAAGGGTGCGGGTTCGAGTCCCGTCTGCTGCCTGGTCCGCGTGGAATTTTTTCTAGTTATATTTTCTTTAGATTTAAACATCAAGCAGTTACATGCTTTAAAAATAATAAAAATTATAATCACAATTGTTGTTGGTTTTAAAACGGCATTACTAACCTTTAACACTACTTGTAGATCAAACATTTGAACAGTGAATGCTTTTTCAAAGTTTTTTAGCAGGTTAGGGTTTTGACCGCAAAGTCACAGGCATGGTGCTAGCGTGGGCGGAATACTTATGTTGCAGTGGAGGAGCCTTTAAAGAAGTCGCATTTGCTGATCTGATGGAATAAAACATTAGCGAATTCGGTTTAAATACTTCAATTGTTTGCTTGCCATAAATATTAAGGTGTTTTGTTTTTAAGTTACCTCAAAAAAGTATTGATTCTTACGGGTAACAGCCAAAATGTTGCCTGATTAATATTCGCGACCACAAACCAGTATCGCCATTACAGGGAAATCACTGGAAAATTTCTACGATTCTCTCCCTTGTGAGTCGTGACTCGTGACCGAATCCAAAGTTAGTCAGCTGCCAAAACAATGCTCAACGATCGGTGAAATTCAATTAGTTTATAATGAAAATATAACTTATTAATTTATACAGATGAAAATAACTAAATTCCAACAAAGGTAGTTTATTCATTCAACCACACATGCTTAACGGTTCGGACCCTTTACAGGCTCCGTTGTAGCAAGATGGGTTTCTTCACAATTACTCTTTTCCACAATCGTGGATAAAATGTCTTCCATGTATGGCAATGATATGGCAATAGGTTCAAGATAAACGAAAAAACGATTGACCAATTTCAATTGCCAGTTCAAATGTTGTAAGTACTGAAGAAGGATTTGTAAGTTATAGTACAATACGGTTTGCTATTGTAAGTTTATGTCTTAAACAAAACCGGATAAGTGCGAGTCGGCCCCGCCCACCGAAGATTCCGTACAAATTTGTAGGTTCTCGACATAAACAGCCGTATCTTTATTATTTAAGTTTGATTTTTGCAGACCTGAGTATTATTATGGTTTAAATTTCAACTCCATAACATACCGTGTCTGATCCACGCGATCCCGTTTGGTCTTGTCTTGACAGACAGACGGACAACAAAGTGATCCTATAAGGGTTCCGATTTTTCCTTTTATGGTACGGAACCCTAAAACATAAATTTAAGCATCTAGTCAATATCGAACCGATTGTTCTTCTTTTTTGCGAAAAGAATTACAAATTAATTGAAAGCATTTGTACAAACCTCAGATTACAGAACTAAAGGTTCTATAATTCTGAGATACAAACCCTAAATATTGGAGGTCAATGGTAAGCAAGTTTGGTACACTACACAGTTGAGCGTGACTAAGTGTCATTAGGAAAAACTAAGGAGACCACAATTAAACATCACCGGATTTTTCGGTGGCATTTAAAGTACTTTAGAAGGTGCCTTTGTCGAGTGCTCGATTACTAGGCTCTATAATTATATGAGGCTTGTTAAAATTTTTACTAATAAAAGGACATTTGTTTCGGTCTTCTATTAGTCTTTTGAAGTAATTTAGATTGTATTGATTTGAGTTATTCCTAAATCCCGGTCTGCTTGAACTTCGACGTAGGTTCGACATCAAAAGTAATGGTAGGAACAATATGTTAATTTATTAATGTTTCATTAGTTTCACTTGGAAGTAGACAATGAAATGAAATGATTTATTTACCGTTAATAGGGTAGATTGGTCACGTCAGACCGGATGGACATCCAAAACGTTGTACTTAGGCCTATTTAACCATTTAAAATGGCATGCAAATATAATTTAAACAGGAATGAATATTAAATTTCAATATCAAATTTACAAAATAAATACAATGTTAAAGAAATTAAAACAGCAGGATTCAAATTATTAGTTATCAATATCAAATGTCAAAACAAATTCATTAACAAAGAAATTGTATTTCAAATTATATTTTGATATCGGCATAACACGAGATAGTATTGTATCAATTCCTAAGAACATATTAATTAGGTAATGATGTGTAACCATGCATCGACTATTAACACTACTCTTTGTGATTCATGATTTCGTCTACTGAATAAAATATATGATCTAACAACCATCTGCATAACAATGTTTTAAAACGGTTTAAAGGCAAATCTTTAAAGCGAGCAGGTATCTTATTGTATATAGGTTGACACAGCATAACAATTTTTTTTGACCGTTGAGTTTTTGGAGCTATTTCTAAAACTTATCTTTGCGGATCACGCCTTAATCTTTGAAATCCATCATTTGCCTTTTTATAATGTTCATAATTTATCTTGAAATATATAGCTTAAAATATAAGGACTAGGGTGAGGCAATATGTTTTAGGTTCTGAAGTAAAGTCTACATGACACTTCTGGTGCTATGTCGCAGATTGCTCTAATACATCGCTTTTCTGAAATAAATTATTGTTCAATATCTGTACCATTTCCCCATATTATCAATCCATATCTTAGTTCAACATATGCACTATAGGCAGTTGTAGCTGTATTAACACTTGCTACTTTAACGAGTTTTTACAGAGCATAAGTTAATATATTTATTTATATTGTTACTAACTTTTCTATTTGTTCTTTCCAAGAAAATATTGTATCAACCAAAAATGCTGTAATTTTAAGATTATTCAGAACATATGCATCAAATAAAATGTTTTTTTAATAATAATAATTTATTTCCAATAATTTGTTACATCATAAATACATTAATTAATTAATTTCTTCATAATACAAACAATCGTACAAACAAAACAGAGCTAATAAAAGGTGTATTTTTTTTAAGACTCAAAGTAACAATACTGTAGCATTGACTGTAGGTAGCACACGAACAGAAATCTGCATCGTAGGCACCCTAATATTATAAATAGCATAGCATCACATGAATACAATTTTAATGGTGTAATTATTATTTGTAACAACATAAAGGTAATGAAATCAATTCAAAATAATTAAATGAAATAAAAAAGAAACAGGATTTTATGAATCAATTTTATACGTTTGTGTGTGTCTGTGTGTGCATGCGTGCGTGCGTGCGAGCGTGCGTGGGTGCGAGCGTGTTGTATTTGTTATGTGTGTTTGAAGGTGCACTTCAAATGACAACTGATTGATATTGATATTGAAATTATTAGAGTTAATTATGTTTGTTATACTTATATTTATTTTAAGATTGTTATTTTGAAGCCACTCCAATATTAATTTAAGATTAATTTCTATGTCAATTATAAGTGCATTTGATGTTCATCTGTCGTTTATCTGTCTGCTTATCATCAGCAAATAAATAAATTCTCTGGTCAATTATGTCAAATAAATCATTGCAATATGCGACAAAAAACAATGGACCGATTACATTTCCTTGTGGTACAACTAACTCATTTAGATACATGGAGATACTCGGAATAAAGGGGATTTTCAAGTGATATTGGTGTCCAATTATCCGTCAATTTGCAAATGGGCACGGTATCTAACTTCGGGTAAAATCCTAGGTAGTGGGTAAGCTGAGCTGGGAATCTGCTATTGTTTCCCGGACAACAGCTTAGGTTTGACTGGACCAATGTAAAATGTGGTATCGGCTGATGTATTGAAATTATTATAATCTGCTCCTCACTTCGCTTTGTCAATGTAGACTATAGTTTTTATTTTGGGTATGTGACAAACATACATATAATGATACTTAGGGGCCGTCCATTAATCACGTGATGTTTTTATGTTTTTTTGGCAAATCTTAACCCCTCTCTTCCCCTTGGTGATACGTGGTGAGGCTTAAGACACCCCCCCCCCCCCGATGTCACGTGTATTTTTTAATACCTACTAAGATTTAGTTTAAAAAGGGCAATTCATTCGAGCTTTTAATATATCAACTTGAATAAAGCTCATGTGTATTTCATTTCACTGTCATGTTCAAGTGTTTATGAACATCCTTTAGGCCAATATTCTTTATACTGTGTGTGGTTTCTTCTGTTATAAATGTATTACTGTATATTGTATTGCCATATGAATTTTATATAAACTACAATTTTGTAACATTCTCCATAGTGCGTTTCTAAAACAGTCATATCAAATAACTGCGATCTGACTACTTTATTTCACTTGACACAAATATTTTTTTGTTAAGTGGTTAGGAACGCAAACGCGTAAGCCACGTTCGTTTCTGATGGTCATTTTTTTTAATAATATCACAAGTACAGGGTATTTTATCTACCTACTTGTATAAATAAATAAATATTTTTTTCCAACACTCACAACAATTAGCCTAGCCCCAAAGTAAGCACTGTTGGCTTGTGTTATGAGATGCTAGATTAACGGATAGAATATATACGAGTATATTGTACATATATAAGTATGCGGCGGGATTCGAACCCGGAACCTCTCGAGTAGTCGACACCTTGAAATCCGGCGTACAAACCACTCGGCCACGGAGGTCGTCAAAGGTCGTATTTAATGTATATTATTATAATACTTGTAATATAATCGAATCTGATTTTCTTTGCCAGTTTATGAGCGTTTTTATTCGTTCACTTTGGACCAATTCTGGTAGATTCTACAATGTCAGCGTCGCATGACTGGCATTAACGTTATCATAGTTTATCGACGGAGAATGGAATAGATTTGACATAGTAATGGAAAAGTTTATTGGATCCCGCCAAAGCTGCTTAGATTTTTGCTTGCACTATTTTTTTCTACATCGCAAGCCATACTATTTTCCACTGTTTTTCCTAAATGTACCTACAATTTTTGCCAGCCATGATCATAATAAAATAATGTGATTTCGCAAACATTTTCGGAAACAACTTAGTCAATTATTTCACCTGCCCCAAATATTTGGCTGATTTCAACTTTACACTTCAGTTTGCAGTCTGTAAGATGTTTTGTTTTATAAATATTTTTACACAAAAATTGAAATTCAAAAAAGTCTAATCGATTTTAAACTTCGTATATTTTTAAGTTATGAATAACTAGTATTTACTTATCAAAAGATTATGTGATATTATTTTAATTTGGACAATTATATAGGTACATTATTGAGCATTACTTATTCTATTGAGGTCATATAAAAGTATTTTGCTATCCCTATTGTTGGGTTTTGTTTTGTTTGTCGAGTCTGACACTGGTGAATAACCAATAATGTCATCCGATGATTGAAAATATCAATCAAGACTGATGGAATAGATTAACGTGTAATGGTTGCCCAAAAATCATCAACAAAATGTTGCACTTGCGTGCGTGAAATTGTGTGGCAATATTTGAAATTTGAAAAACGTAGTTTAACTATGTCAGAGGTATAAATTTTATTATTTTTAAAGCATGTAACTGCTTGATGTTTAAATCTAAAGAAAATATAACTAGAAAAAATTCCACGCGGACCAGGCAGCAGACGGGACTCGAACCCGCACCCTTCGCAATCCGGGCGAATGCACTGACCAATTATGCTACCGCGGCCCTCACGGACCGCGTCGAAATTCTTCTAGCCATTCTTAAGCTGCAAGGCAGCGCCATCTCTTCGCATTATAGGTAACCCACAATGTCAAATGAATACTTTTACAAGTATTAAACATTTGAAAGAAGAAATAGCAATTATAGTTATAAATTTTATTATTTTTAAAGCATGTAACTGCTTGATGTTTAAATCTAAAGAAAATATAACTAGAAAAAATTCCACGCGGACCAGGCAGCAGACGGGACTCGAACCCGCACCCTTCGCAATCCGGGCGAATGCACTGACCAATTATGCTACCGCGGCCCTCACGGACCGCGTCGAAATTCTTCTAGCCATTCTTAAGCTGCAAGGCAGCGCCATCTCTTCGCATTATAGGTAACCCATAATGTCAAATGAATACTTTTACAAGTATTAAACATTTGAAAGAAGAAATAGCAATTATAGTTATAAATTTTATTATTTTTAAAGCATGTAACTGCTTGATGTTTAAATCTAAAGAAAATATAACTAGAAAAAATTCCACGCGGACCAGGCAGCAGACGGGACTCGAACCCGCACCCTTCGCAATCCGGGCGAATGCACTGACCAATTATGCTACCGCGGCCCTCACGGACCGCGTCGAAATTCTTCTAGCCATTCTTAAGCTGCAAGGCAGCGCCATCTCTTCGCATTATAGGTAACCCACAATGTCAAATGAATACTTTTACAAGTATTAAACATTTGAAAGAAGAAATAGCAATTATAGTTATAAATTTTATTATTTTTAAAGCATGTAACTGCTTGATGTTTAAATCTAAAGAAAATATAACTAGAAAAAATTATAGCATAATTGGTCAGTGCATTCGCCCGGATTGCGAAGGGTGCGGGTTCGAGTCCCGTCTGCTGCCTGGTCCGCGTGGAATTTTTTCTAGTTATATTTTTTTTAGTTATGCCAGAGGTCCTTAAAACTTTGAGGATTAAAAAAAATATGTAAGGATTTGTCGAAGTAGGTATATTTAAGGAAAAAAAACTAGCTAAAAGATTGATTGATTACGCTTACGTATTAATGCCTACTAAATAAATAGTAAGGTCACGGTAATAATTTGTACTGTGGCAAGGTTTAGCTGAGGTACTGTGGAGCCCTGTTACACCTCGAAAGGGCCTGTGGACCCACTTTGAAGAACTCTGTGATATATTTTTATTTTAAGCATTTAACTTCTAGATGTTTAAATCTAAAGAAAAAATTACTAGAAATAAATCCACCCCCTTGTCTTCTGTAGTGCGTCCGCCTGGATAGCTGTAGATGCGGTCTGTCTTTATATTGAATTTTCCTTAAATTTTAAACTCTGTGATAGGTTAATTGGTATTTAAATCCGCAATTCTTAAGTTTTTCTAAGTCTTTACGCGTACAGGGAAATTGTGAAAGTTACTTTGATAGGAACTGATTTATAGAAAAAAAAAAATAATCAACGCATTTGATACACAAAAAACAGTCTGTACAGTATTGTATGAGCTGCCAGATGTTAAATACTTCAGATGATTAATTCGTTGATAAATAAGTAACTACATAATAAACACTATTTCGTAGCAGTACGGATACTTTTGCAGTGTTCGAAAGTTCGTACCAGAGGATGCGCAAATAGTGATTAGGAACCATATGTATGTGCGTTTAAAGTTCAAATTGATTTCATGTTTTTGCAGTGCTGTAAAGTATTAATTATACAGCAGACGGGGCGTTTAATTGTATTATTAATCGTAGAATTATTTTCGTCGTTTTAGGGTTCTCTATGTACTTAAATGCAGTGGTGGTCCTTTCATATAAGCCGAGAAGTCCAGTTTGCCCTACAAAATCGCAAATCCATTAATGGTTCACTAAAATTGGTTATGATTGTAATATAGCACAAAACTAAAATTGATTATGTTATACAAAATCTTAATTTATTATACCTACATCTTAGTTTGTTAAGCTCGCCAAGTCAAAAAAGTAAGATACGAGTATAGTAATTTTGGAAGCTTTGGGCTTGCCCTATTATGAAGGCCTGGGCACGCCATTGTATAAATGACAACATAAGGGATTAGCCTGTCAGACTTTCGGTCTGTCTGTATGCATGTATGTTTTGAATCGTGAAGTGAGCGAGTTAAAACATTAAAAGGGTAGGCGATTTATTTGCAGTTTGTTTTTGCCATCTCTTGAATCAAAACCAAATAGTTTTAAATCTCGAACGATGGTACGCAACGCACATTGTGCAATTCCGACACGCACTTGGTCGAGTTTTTATTTATTCTTTTTTTTTCTTTTGCAGCATCCGAGTGGCCGGTAACCAACAAGCCGTTGAAGATTATTCGCACCAAAGAGAATAAGTTATCGAATAGATTTTTCCCGTACGACGAGATAGATACTGAATGTCAATTGACCATAGACGATGATATAATTATGCTTACACCAGACGAGTTGGAGTTTGGGTGAGTACTTTTTTTTATATTTAGTTATTTTTTTGGTGAGATCCCAGAAAAAGAGTTATCTTAGTTTAGGAAAACTAGAAGTCAAGAAGTTGGGCAGTTCGTAAAGGCGGGAGACGGGGAAATTTTCAGAAATAAACTATAATAGCCAAATTTTTGTTTATATATAGTGTCGCTATGACAAATGATAAAAATACAATAAGTTAAAATTAAAGGAGTGCAAGAAATATGAGGCCGATCAAAGTTATTGTTTTCCTTTTTTTATTCGACCCAAACAGTCTCTAACAATCGATACATTTTAAGTGCTAAACCTTGTCGAGAGTTCCGTACCCGTATTCGAGTCTGGCGCGAAATTATTCGGTCTCTTTTATTAATTTGCCATATCAAATAAAGCTACATTATTTTTTACAAAGCAACATAATATCTATGTTATTGAGAAACACGTGTAAATGAACATTGGAATATGTTGAGGTCGTCTCATTTGCGACAAAAATGATATCTTTTTTTTTATTAAATTACTAGTGGTCCGCCCTCGCTTCGCTTCGCTTCGCTTGTAGAACTGTAGACTATAGTTATTGTTCTCAGACTTGTATTATACACAATGACTTTCTTCATATAATTATAAACCTTGCGTGTAAATTTATTCAAATGATAGTAAAAATTTAGTTGCGTAGTTTAGGACCTGTTGTACCTCTGTTGTTCCGATTTGAAAAAATATTTTTGTATTGGATAGTGCATTTATCTAGATGAAAGATGTTGCAAAAACAGGTAAAATTATCCATTTGTGAGATTCCGTTGCGTGCGCTGGGTAAACGGTCAAAGTTACACGAAAATCATGTCTAACGGAATTGTTCACCTTTAAAAGTTCTGTAAGAAGGAATGTCTAAATTTTGAGTTTGACTCACTATAACCTTTTTCTTCAAATTAACGCGGGTGAAATCTCAGTGACATAACTGTGACAGTTAGACATATGGTATCGCGGACTTTTTTGTAGATATTGATGTCCTCTGTGAAACTTTAGTACATCACTTTGCTCTATTGTCAATGACTTCCGCAGCGTACGCGATATAAGGTTATTTTTTGGTATTTTTTTACACACATTGGGTTACATTATCGAAGTTTTCATACGGACCCAATTTTTTTTTAAATACACTATAGCCTATGTTCATCACGTATAATAAAGATCCAGTAGTTTCGGAGCCTATTCAATAGAAACAAACAAATACACATACAAACAATCAAATCTTTCGTCTTTATAATATTAGTATAGACAAATTCATTTTAATGGTATAAAGTTTAGCCTATGCCGCTTAGGAATAATGTAGCTTTCTACTGGTGATAGAATTTTGAGTATCAGAGGTTCATCGTCAGCATCGGCCTATTAATGTCCCCACTGCTGGGCACAGGCCTATAGTATAAGTTTTTGGTCACCCATATTCGGTCACCATTGCGAAAGTTGCTTAACTGTCACGATTGTAGGCCTAATGCGCTAACCACCTATGACATCGAGTTTCTTGATCCAAAGATTGCTTTCTATTAATAATAAACTTTACCTACTTCTTCTTTATACTTCTTTATAATATTGTGTATAATTATTATTATACATTATGTATTATCAAAGTTCTCAGCGCTCAGCAGTAATCAACTCGGGCAATTACTTTATTTATTGTTATATTACTGCTTCAGAGGGGTTCACAGACGATTCAGATATTTAAATTGATGTGCAGTGTAATGTCGTTGGACACTTGATCTCCACTTACTCAATTTCTTTCGCTTTCTCAATAATCGTTATTAGCAATCGCTGCATGCTCGCCTTTGTATTTGTCACGCGTTCTTTATGTAGACAATGCAACCATTTGATAGTTAAAGATTCCTTAACAATGACTCTTTCTGGCTATGCTTTCTTCTAAAGTGTACCTCCCATAGGAAATGCTGCCAAAATAACCTTTAATCGCTTACGGCACTAGCTTTCTGGCTATGCTTTTCTGCTAAAGTGTACCTCCCGTTAGGAATGCTGCCACAATGACCTTAAATTGAGTTATCGAATAGTTGAATCGATCTATTTTATACGTCAAATTTGTACCGATTTTTAGATCTCGTTTACGTTCGCTGTGGCGCTGTTGTTCAAGTTTCCATACAAAATGTGACATTGACATTTCGCACTCGCGAACTATTGAAATTCGATATTGGTTCGTGCTGACGATTCTGACCCCATCCCTACATCGTTGATTGAGTTTGAAAATAGAAAGTTGTCAGAAGGATGCTCCATCCTAGAAAACAATTACCTTCACTTGCCGCTAATAATGTTGACAAATCATGTCGCTAATCGCGATTTTGTTCTCCTTGAAACCTTGAGAATTCCTGTAAACGTAACACAAATGTGTGCATGACAGAAATGACGCGGTGGTCACATAATTTGTGGTGGAGCCCTGGAGCCTTTTAAGCAAAAACAGAACAAACACCAAAAAGTAGTTTTCTTACACCATGGTCTGCTGGTCGCATAAGCGGCAATAGAAATACATACATATTGTTGATTTTTTTTACAGTCTTTACTGTGTACTTGAGGTATAGATAATGATCGCTGACGGACAGGCAGACGGAACCCTAAAAGGATTAACTTACTTGAAGTATAACTAATATGCGTCACTTGCTAAACACAGCTAACGCAGCCCGACATCTTTGGCATAACAGTAACGTTTTTTTTTCGTAATCAGATGTCTAATTAATTTCACAAACAATACGTAAGCGGAATAATTTAAACGAAGCACGCGACAAAATGTCTTTACCTACATAATTAATAGAAGCGTTGACTGTGGAAATCGCATGTTTTTTTGCAATTTGGAAATATAATAATATGTGAATATTTTGTGCAATATGCGGGTGTAAGTCGGTTTAGGTTGTACGTCATTGGCACAAGAAATGACGTACGTAAGGAATGTGCATGCGCATGTGCACAAAAAAACCTTAATGTTTTTGTAGTGCGTAATAATTATGTCGAGCTATTGGTATGGGAAGCAACTGTTTCAAGCTAAACAAATATCGAAAAGTATTTACAAAAAAATGTGCCCATTTGCGTAACATCCCGTCCCATTGATTGGTTTTTACTATACAGCGTGTCCCAAAACTTGGCCACATGGAGGGAAAGTACCCTTAATACTGTAGATAGAAATTTGTTCAATGTCAAAAATTTCCATTAAGTAAACGCCATTATAGTTCCATTATAGACCTCCAGTAATCAGAATGTTCTTAAGTGTACTCCTTCGTGATACTTTGAAATTATAATAAAATTGTACATAAATTCAGTTATAATAAGTGCGGCATAATGAAAAGGTAATTCATTATTCCGACCAAAATTTGAAAATGAAACCTTAAATTTCATGGCCTTGTTTTTGTTTTAAATGATGATATGTTATTGAGAAGATATACAGGGCGTCCCGCGGTCATGCCACACGGAGGGAAAATATATTAAATATTGGAGATGAGATATTTTACTGAAAGAAGACTTCATTTTATTGTTAATAATAAGTAGTACTGCATTCACCGATTTTAAAAAACGTCTGCCACAACCTAGATTGAAACTCGTGAAATGCGAAACAAAAAACATATTTTTTTATTAGAACCGTCGAAAGGGTTAATCATGAGGAATATTTTTTACTAAATAACAAACCATTTTAAATGAAGGAAGAATCACGCATTTTGACTTTTTTTTATTTACATAACCCAACAAAAAAGCCAGTCGCATTGTAATTGTCACCTCACAAAGAAATGGATACAAGTACCTACTGTAGTTTATAGTAATATTAGTTATTTACGGGATTGTTACCATGCACCTTGTTTTTAACGGGTTTCCGATATTATATACAGTGCAGTTATTATATATGCAGTTACTCCGTGATCATAGCTCTTACTTAACAGTGCCGAAATATCGGAAACTCGCTTAAAACTAGGTACATGGTAACAATCCCGTAAATAACTTATATTACTATAATGTTAGTGACCATGAAAGTTTAAAACAATCTACTGTAGTTTGTATAAGTATCGCTTTTCTGTATTATTAAGTGAGCAGATACTACTTAGTACTTTTAAATGATAATATTGGCTGTTGGAAGCACGGAAAAGTAAGAGGAAAATTTCCTGAACAAAAGTTTTATTTAAGATCAATAATCTTCCTTTCATTTAATTTAGGAAAAAAATAATCCTTATGATTAACCCTTTCGATGCTTATCATAAAATATGTCGTGTTTTCAGTCGATTAAAAAAACTGTGAATGCAGTTCTAGTTATTATTAAAAATAAAATGATTTCTTCTTTCAGTGAAATATCCTATCTTCAATATTTAAAATACTTCTCCTCCCACAGGAAACCCTAGGAACGCCCTGTATATGTATATAAATGAGCCGTTCCGACGGTTCAGTAATATTACCGGTAATTTATTTATCACATTTAGCAGGTTTAACTACCGATTCAGGCGAGCATTGTTTTTTCTTTGTATGCTTTTCGTATTGTGTACAAAATGAAAATGAAGTTTTCCTTCAGCAAATATTTATACCTACAGTTTTTAAGGTACTTTCCCTCAATATGGCGAAGTTTTGGGACATCCTGTATTGTTGCCGCATATTAGCGTTCTATGTGTATTAATCATTGATTCCCCGCCAAGCCCTTAACGAATATAACACAAACCCATACATAATATATATGTAGGTCATCATAACACTTGTGTATCGGCAGTGATTGTTTCAATATGAACTGAACCAAACCCGTGAAGCAATAGCTGTACTTTTGACAATGTAGCGATCATCAATTACTTACCTACGTTTAATAGCCATTTGTTGGACGATTAAATTGCACGTAAGTATGTACGAGTATGAAATCATGTCACGGTTTTGATTTCTCCCCCCGTGTCTTGTCTCTATCTATTATTTGTAAAAAAATATCTTCTTATTAGTAAAACAGATTCAATGCGAGTCGGACACGCGCACCCAGGATTCCGTATGGGTTAACCTT